CCACCGCCCGCTGGGGCACCAGGACGGCGTTTCCCAGGTGGTGGATGTGGACAAATCCCCGCCTCGCACCCATTGAGACCTCCCTGTGACAGCGTTTCGACGCTAATCGCTTCCCTCGACCGTCCGTTCTTCTGCACGAACGAAATGGGCACGGAAAGAGCGGGTACAATGCCCAACAGCGGATGTTGCTCATGTTGCTTAACCAGACTCGCTGTCCACGCCGCCGCGGCCTGTGTCCATTCGAGACAGAAGGCCGCCTGCCCAACAGCGGCCGCTGTTGGTTTGGGACACATTTGTTGTTTGGGCATTGTACCCATTCTTTCCGTACCCTCCTCCTCCTCCTCCTCCCCGGCCTCCTCCTCCTCGTCCTCCTCCTCGTCCTCGTTCTTCTCCTCCTCCTCCTGTTTCTCCTCCTCCTCCTCCTCCTCGTCCTCCTCCTCGTCGTCCTCGTCCTCCTCCTCCTCCTCCTCCTCGACCGTCCGTTCTGGTCGTCCTTCGGTCGTCGGCCCTCGTCGGGCTGCCGGCCGTCGCCCCGGTGCACCGTGGCGCCGGCGGCCGCCGGCGGCGCCGCCTTCCATGGCGCGTCGCGCGCTGCCCTCGTCGGCGGGTGTCTTCCTCGGCGTCGCTCGTCCTTCGTGGCCGTAAGTCGGGCCTGTCCCTCTACAGGAGAAACATATTCAAACCTCGTAAAACATAGCCCGGGGATCTTTTTTAAAAGTATGTTTTGACCTTTTGGGAGTACGTGTGGCTATGTTTCATTAACCGTCCAAAATCGGCCTGCGGGGGAACAGGCCCGACTCGATCGTAGCCGCTCGTCGTCCGTCGTCGTCGATCTCAAGCAGTGGCGAAGCGTCCTGCCTCGCCTATAGCCCGACCCAGCAGTGTTCTAAGAACCGATTGTGGTTTCCACGAGCTGTTCTCAGAACATTTCTGGCGGAGCCTGTCTTGTTTTAACACATCGGATGAATGTTGTAAGAACATTGCTTTGTTCGAGAAACATTGTTGGGTTCTAAGAGCATATCGTGATAGGACTATACGAATGCTGGGGCGGTCGGTCCCTGCTCAACCATCATCGTCGTCAGTCGTCGTTCGATGTCATCGGTCATGGATCGGTCGTCGTCGTCGTCGTCGGTCGTCGTTTGTCGTTCGGCGCCGTCGTCGACGGTCCTTCGAGTCGGTCGTTGCCGTTCGTCGTTCGTCGTTCGTCGCCGTCGATGTCGTCATCGGTGGTCGGTCGTCTCCGTTTTTCGACCTCGCTTCCCTTCCCCCCGATCTGCTCGGTCCCCGGGGTGGGCCCCTCGTCGCCGCGTCGCCAATGCTTGACGAGGGTTTTCTGTTCACTACTTCCAGAGATGTTTCCCAGTCTTTTTGCAGGTGAGCGGAGGTTCCGACACTTCCGGAATGTCCCACGCGTTTTCGAGCTGATTCTCAAGGTTTCTTTCGAGCAAGAAGGGGCTGGTTAGAGTAGGAGGCGGTTCACCAGTTGTGTTTTAGGGTGGTTACGTTGGGTCCAGGAGCTCTTGTTGCGTTTGTTTCTGGATGTCTTTGCTTCTAGGCCTCTGTCCTCCTCCTCGTCTTCCTTCTCGTCCTCGCCCTCTTTTTTTCTCCTCTTTCCTCGTCCGTTGCCTTTCCTCTTCCCAAGGGGGGGGGAGCGACAACGGAATATGGATGAGGGGGAATATGGAAGAAGGGGTGCATGAGGAGGAGAGTGAGGAGACACATAGTATCCCATACGACCACCCTTCGGGTGATGTGGAGGTTCGGGGGGGAAGAACCAACGTCGCGCTCGATCGATCTCACGATCGATCTCACTACCGGTCTCACAATCGATCTTATTCGATCGATCTCATTGTCAGGCTCACTATCGGTCTCACGATCGCTCTCACTATCGATCCCACCATAAAATTTCAATATCTCTCTTACTATCGACGTCACGATCGATCTCACTATCGACTGCGTCATCGATCTCACCATTGACCTCGCTATTGATCTTACTATCGATCGCACTATCGATCTCACATTAGATCTCACTACCCACCTCACTATCGATCTAACTATCGATCTCACACTCGATCGAAGTCAATCGATCTCACTATCGATCGCACACCCGACCTCACGACACAATCGATCTCACGATCGATATCCCTGTCGATAGCACTATCCCTCTCACTGATCATCTCATCATCGATCTCACAATCGATCTCACATTCGATCGCACACCCGATCTCACGACCTGTCTCACTTTCGACCGCACAGTCGATCTCACGATCGATCGAACAACCGATCTCACACTCGATCTCACTATCGATCTCACTATTAACCCCACGATTGATCTCACTATCGATCACACCATGGATCCCATCATCGATCTCACAATCGATCTCACTACCGCTCCCGCTGTCGATCTCACGAGCGATCTCGCTATCGATCCCACCATACATTTCAATATCCTTCATACTATCGACGTCACGATCGATCTCACTATCGATTGCATTATCGATCTCACCATTGACCTCGCTATTGATCTTACTATCGATCGCACTATCGATCTCACGGGGCACCACGGGACACCGCGCCACGGGACACCGCGGGACACCACGGGACACCATCGGGACACCACGGTGGGCCACCCCTTGCCACCGCCCGCCTCGCGGCCCGGAGCGGGAGGGGGGGCGAGTTTTTGTCCTCGTAACTCCCTCGCCAGAGGAGGGTTCATTCTTCTCGCCCGCCCACGCAGCTTCGCCTCGCCCGCACGCGCGACACGAGCACGAAACCAAAAAGGATTTTCGGGTGGGGGGCTCTCTGTTTCATTGCGATCTCACCCCCTCAGTTTCGATTGAAGTAATTGTTATGATGGCGGTAACGCCGAATGGTGAGGAGGCGAGTTAGGTGTGGGACGTGATAGAGGGGCAAGGTGGAGGAGGAGGAGGAGGACGAGCATGGGAACAGCCAGGGGGAGGGCTCCAGAAGTAGGAGACGCAGCTCGGAGGACGAGGAGGAGGAGGAGGAGGAGGAGGAGGAGGAGGAGGAGGAGGGTGGGGGCAGCAAGGGGAAGGAGGACGGGGAGGGAGGACGGACAAGGAGGAGGGTGGGCCGGAGTAGACCCAAGGTGCATCAGCAATGTTGCGACAGGCTTGCCCGTTGCAGCCCCCTCGTTGAGATACGAGCGCCCCAATTGTCCTGCCGTTCGGAAGAGGGTCCCGTTCTGAGGCAGATAGTCGCCTCAAATCCTTGTTTGTGTTGCCGCAGACCTCGTGCGCACGGGTGTAGAACGTGAAGAAACATGCAGCGGGAGCAGCTCTCTCGGTCAAGGGTCCTGGAACTGCACAGTCAACCCGCATAGTGGGGATGAGCGACTTTCCAAGTGTACCCTGGCATCCTTCCCCTTCGGCCCATCCTTGGCCGCTTTCGCTGTTCCAAGGCCCTTGCATCCTGATCGCGCGTCCTCATTATACTGGTTGGCTGCACGATCGCCCCAATGGACCTGCCACTAATTAGGGAGAGAGCCCCGCTTCGAGACAGAGCCGCCTCATGTCCGTGGGATCGTTGCACGCCTCATGCGCGCGGCTGCACGACGTGCAGAGGCATGCAGCGGGAGCCCCCTTCTCGGTGGAGGGTCCTGACATTCGTTGTCCTCCTTTCCGCCTCTCGCCATTCCTCCGTCCTCCGTCCGCCCTCCCTCACATCCCCGCGCTTTCTCGGAAACTGGAGCATGTACATTACCAGTGGCGGGCGGTTGTTTAATCCCAGGACTTTTTTGAGGGTCGGGGACGACGTCGGGGTGGTGTGGCGCATACTTTTCCCCCCGTCTTCCGGGGGGGAAACAGCGAAGAATGCATACACCAGGATCCCGCATACACCAGGATCCGCTTCCTGTGCGAGACTCAGTGTGAGGCCAGACAAAGCGTCGGTGTGTAGAGTTCGGTTCCCGGGAGGAGGGAGGAGGGAGGAGGGAGGAGGGAGGAGGGAGGAGGGAGGTACTTCCCCCCCCGCCCCCGACCCCGCACCACCCCGCTTCTTCGGCCGAGGAGGACGAGGGCAGGGGGGAGGCCAGGCAGCGGCGGCGGGCGGACCGGCAGGAGGGAGGGAGCGGCGGGGGCGAAGAGGTACACGAAGAGGAGGAGGAGGACGAGGAGGAGGAGGAGGAGGAGGAGGAGGAGGAGGAGGACGAGGACGAGGACGAGGACGAGGACGAGGAGGACGAGGATCTGACCTGAGCAGTTGTTTCTGGCGAGGGGGAGCATTGGAGGAGCATGGGTGGAGGCAGGGCACTGCCCTCCTGCTCCTTCTCCTCGTCCTCGTCCCGCCTCCTCTCTCTTCATCATCCCGTCCTCACTGTCGTCATGCCCCCCCCCTCGCCATCTTCATAGTCTCAATCATCCTCGCGCCCCTCCCTGGGGAAACAGAAAAAAACCGCGACCCCCCTTCGCAGGACACCCTGGAGGCGGTGATGCGGGCGCCTCAGCAGACCCCCCGCCCGACGATCCCGGCTTAACGAGGCCGTGGTCTGGCCGATTGGGGCGATAGTCCCGTCGATCGGCCGATCTGGCCGCCGTCCTGGCCGAGTGGCCAATCCATCCAGGGAGATCGGGGCGGCCGAGGGAGCTCCCTCGGTCGGCTGGGTGCTCCACGGATGCCATGGGAGGTGGGAGGTGATGTGTGCCCCATCTTCCCCGCGGGAGAGCGCGCACACCGGCAGGAAAAGGGGAGGGAGGAGGGAGGAGGAGGAGGAGGCAAGGAGTAGGAGGAGGAGGAGGAGGAGGAGGGCGGGGAGGGGAGAGAGGAAGGAGGAGTGGGAGGGGAGAGAGGAGGAGGAGGGGAAAGGAGGAGGGAGGAGAGGAGGAGAGGAATATGGAGGGGAGGAGGAGGAGGAGAGGAGGAGGAGGAGGATGGATGAGGAGAGGGGAGGAGGAGGAGGAGGAGGATAAGGAGGAGGAGGAGGAGGAGGAGGAGGAGGAGGAGGAGGAGGATAAGGAGGAGGAGGAGGAGGAGGAGGAGGAGGAGGAGGGAGGAGGAGGAGGAAGAGGTTTTCTAACGTTGTAATTGGTTCTGGGCGGCTTTCCAGCCTTGGGGTGCCTTCCAGCAGCTGCGCCACGCCGAGAGCGTTCTGGGGTGCGCGGATCGTCCCGAACTGCCGCCAGAGAGCCGAGTTATGACCCGAGAACCGAAAAGCTGCTATGGCCGCGGCTGTGTTGCTTAAGTGAGTAACCTATCCGCGGCGCGGCCCTGGGCACAGCATCATGTTGGTCGTCATATACAGGCCAGAGCTCCTCAGCGTTGGCCTCACGCTCAGCCATCCTACGCTCAGGGGCCCGCTCGACCGCCGAATCGGGCGACTCGGGGGAAGAGGGAGGAGAAGCGAGGAGGAGAAGGGAGGTCTGGCCCTCGGATGCTGCGTCTGGAGGCCCAGAACGCACGATCAACGTCGCCGGCTCCGGCTCTGGCTCCGCCTCCATGGGCCAGCAGCGGACAACAATCAAGAGGGAAAGAAACACACAGACACAATTAATCGGCGATTCACCAGAAAATCTGGGAAAATATGGGAAGTGGGGGGGAAGACAAAAACCCAGAAAGTATGGGAAAATATATGGGAATAGGTATATTTGTGTGTATTTATTTGTGTGTCCCAGGGCCCCTTCAAACAAAAGCATCCAGGCCCTCGACCCGGGCGGAGACCCCCAGAGACCTCCTGGTGAACCTCGGCATGTTTGTGCCCCGGCCTCCTGCGGCGCGGCGGGTCCTTCGGCGAGACGTCCAGGACCGAGGACGGTTCGGTGTCTCTTGGGATGCTTCTCTAGACACCCACTTCTCAGAGCGTGAATCACCTACCCCGCTTTCGCTTCCAGGCAAGACCAAGCCATACCACGCGCCTCCTCGTCAAGCGGCCTGACCAGCACAGGCCGTAGTTTGGCATCGTTTGGCATCTCTCGGAAGCGAGGGTGGTCAAAAGCGAGGCAGGTTTGTTTTCCCCCTAACTTCGGCACACCCTGCATGCGCTTCGAGGCGCCATAGGGAGCTCCACCGAAGGCCCCAGCGGCAGCGCCCGCACTGCGGCCCCGCCACACTGTGCGGCGCGCCCTCCGCGCGCTTCGGGCCCGCAGGGAGGTCCACCGGAGGCAGTTCTGAGACACGGCGCCCTCTGGAGTCCACTGCGAGGGGTCGACGCTGCCACGGCCGGAGCCGCCCCGATGCTCTGAGCAGGACGCGCAGGGCAAGCCTCTGGGGGGGTCGGTCCTGCGGCCCAGAGCCCTCCTCGAGGGAGGTGGACCAGGATCGGCGCCCTGCCGCGGAGACCACCGGCCCGGGCTGGGCGGGGCCACGCGCCTGGGAGCCGTCGAGAGAGGAGAAGAGTACGAGTGACACGCCGCCGTGGGGACCTCGTCGGCGTGTTCTTCCTTCGGTTCTGGTCGGCTAGGTTTGGGGGCGGGGGGGGCGTTCGATCAGGAAGGTGCCCAGGAGCCTTCAGGCCATGGAGGATTACTTATCCGATGTGGGCGGCGGTAATATCCATGGCCAAGCCTCCATTGGCGTTCCACCTGCTTTCGGGCCCTGAATTCCCCATCCAAGGGATCCACATCCAATGCCCTCACCGTATATGCTGCTTGCTTCAGCAGGACCACGCCGATGGGTTCCCCACGGCGGCATGTCTCTGATCCTGTTCTCCTCCCACAGATGCGAAGCTCCCGAGGCGGAAGCGCAACCTGGTGCTTGAGGCCTACCGCGCGAGCCTGGCCCGCCTCCAGAGGGAGGTCGCCGATGCCGACCGTGAGCTCGCGGCGAAGAAGGCACAGGCCATTCATATGCTTCCATCTCCTCCTCCTCCTCCTCCTCCTCCTCCTCCTCCTCCTCCTCCCTGCTGCTGCTCCTCCTCTTCACTCCCCTTCCTCACTCCCCTTCCAATTCCTCCTTGCTGCTGCTGCTGCTGCTGCTGCTGCTGCTGCTGCTGCTGCTGCTGCTGCTCCTCCTCCCCCTCCCCACTCCCCCTCCCCACTCCCCCCTCGTCCCTTCCCGCGCGCGTGCGGGAGGGTGAAAGGGTGGAGGGAGGGATGTAGCGGCGGAAAAACGGCGGCGAGCGGCAGAACCGATGATTGATGGTTTGGGTTTTCTTCACCCTCTTAAAACCGACCTCTGGATGCTCGTTGAGCTCTCGATCCTCTTTCAGAGATCAGTCCCCCCCCCAAACAGTCTTGGTCTTACGCAGCACTCTGCAATTGCGGATAAGAGTGAGGGGGCGGGCGCGGGTTGGATCGCGGATGGGTCGCGGGTGGGTCGGGGTGTGGGTCGCGGGGGGGTCGCGAGGGGGATGACGACGAGGACGAACACGAAGACGACGACGACGACCACGACGACGACGGCGACGACACCAGCAATCAGGTTAAGACTGTTCGCTCTTACCTGCTCGCATGTCAACTACCATATATATATGTATCCCAAGTCCTCGATGTCCGCCCTCTTCGTCGTTGATCGTCCCCCATGGGGGGTATAGTTTCCGTCCCTGCCACGGTTAGTTGGCGCAGCCCCAGAAACAGGAATAGAAGGGGGACATGAACGAAAACATATAGCCAGGAGGAAAGGAGCGCGGAAAGGGAGGGCGGAGGAACGCGGCATGGGGAAGGGAGAAGGATGGAGCACGAGAGAGGTTGAACAAGGGAGATTAAGGGGTTAGGAGCAGGACAACAAGCTGCAGAACCAGACGGGTGGGTCGGGCGGGCATACCCTAACGGGCCAGGTCGAGCGGGCGGGTCGTTGAAGCGGCAGTCGCGCATGAACCGAGAGGAAGTTTCTAGCGACAGCGCGACTCCCAAGGAAACCCTGAGGATATCTGGAGCGAGAGCGTGATCCCTGAGTGTCGAGGGCGCGGCGCCCGAACAACTCGCGAGGAAGTCCCACGCGAGAGCGCGGTTCATTCGTGCAGATTGCAAAGAGGTCCAGGGCGAGAGCGTGATTCGTCAGCCGAGTGTGAGGAAGTGTGCGGCGGGAAGCTTTGCTGTTTGCTGCTGTAAAAACGAGGGGCCAGAGGCGCAGTCTGAGGCGTAAGACTCCCCGCTACAAGAGAGCAGGGTGCCGCCCGCGGGGGGGGGCACTTCGACTGGAGAAGAAGACACGGGCACCAGGGGGGGATCAACACAGGGGGCACGTCGGATCTGTGCTGGCCGCGATTTCTGGATGCGAATCCGCGCCGTGGCCAGGAGAGTGCACCACGGAGCCCGAAAAGGTAATGCCAAAGATCGGTGTCATCGGTGCGATACGGTCGGATCGAGGTATCATAAGGCCGACGTCGGCTCGGGAAGTGTGCCCTCGTGCTCTTCGTGTCTGTAGGATGCTATTGTGCATCCTGGGGGTGGGTGCCCTCAAGTGTTCTTCAGTTGGGCCCGCGGAGGGCCTCGCGTGCTTGAGGGATGTTCTTCTGTCCCAGGTCCGGCCGTACCGCCGATACCATGACCTCGTCGATACGGGGCGCACGGACCCCCCGGCCCCCTCCCCCGGGAACATGCTTTGGTCCTCCGCCTCCTCTGCCCACGCCCCCCAAGCCTTAGAATCGAACCCTAATCCTCCGTTGCCCGTCATTGCCACGGTGGTAGGCCAATGCCCTACCGTCGGAAGGAAATTCCAATGATTCATCGCCAGCGAAGCTATGCTATCCGTTCGGCTATTATGAATCACCAAAGGACCAGGCGAAGCCTCGCGGGCGCTGAACGTGTGCGAAAAACCCGTCCCGATGCGTCGGAGGCGCTGGGTTTCTGGGCCCCCCTCCCCCGAAGCACGGCGCCCCGGCCTGACCGGGGCTGCGTCCTGGGCAGAATGCCGAGGCGGCCTCGGGCGGGGCGGCTGCCCACCCAAGCAAAGTCCGAGCGGGCTCGGTCGTGCGGGCACTCGCGGGCATAAGCTGCCCGCGTGAGGTCGCGCGTGAGCGCCCATTCCTTCCACGAGGTGGCCCGCTTTCGCGGCCAGGCATCTGGCGGCGCGTTTGTTTTCCAATCCCGCTGCTCCAGACGTCCCCGCCTCTTTTCTGAGGTCCGTCCCGCGTCCCGGGTCCGTGTTGGGGGTCCTGGGGCCCGGTCCAGGGCCCCCAGGGGCCGGCCGGCGTCGGGGAAGGGTGCTCGAATTGGGAAGACGTGTCGCCAGAGATCTCTGGGAAGGGGTTCTCGATCCCCAGCAGCTCGAATCTCCAACATGATGGCTGGGACGTGGATGGTTCAGCCAGTGTGCAGGGACAGTCTGAATCGCCAAGTAAGAACCCAACGTTCCCAACCACCACTGCGCTTAAGTCGGGCCTGCCCCTCTACAGGGGGAAAATTCAAAAATAGCCAAAAATTGTTTAGGGATGATTTGTTGCTGTACTTTTTTTGAATCTTTTAAGGTCCAAAATCGGCCTGTAGGGAAAGAAGCCCGACGTAACACTACGCAATCCCAATCGCTGGTTCGCGGGAAGACAGGTCGGTTCGAGGGGCGGAGGGTCCTGCGTGGACCTGCACAACCGGGCAACCACCATGCAGATTTAGGCGTATTGGGGTAGTTTCTCCTCGCGCGTGCAGACAGCAGTAACCACCATCACACTCACGCGAACCACTCGAACCATCTCTTTCGACTTATCGAGCCCAATCCCCGAAGCCCGCTCGCAAACATCCGCTGCTCAGCAAAGGAGGAGAATTCGGGGATACACCCCCGAGAGACTGTTCGGGCACGCCCTTTATATCGAGGATGGGCGCCCCCATTCGTGCATCTCCGCAGGTCAAAGCCACCAGGTTGAATGTGCGTAAGGCCGTCACAGCACGAGCCTGCCAGAGCTGGCGACTGGCGAGCTGCATTGGCGTATGGCTGCGAGCCTTGTGCAGTTTGCACGGGATGTTCTCAGAGCAGTTCTGGCTGAGATGGCCTGGCCCTAGAGAGAGCTCCTGAGAAAAAAGGACATCCCCGGGTTTGGCCGCAGATTTTGAATCATTTCGACAGACCCCCAGAGTTTGGGAATTGGGGACGCCATGCCCCACGTGAAATCACCGCGTCGTTCCTTCCAGCTGTTGGGGGGCGAGCCCAGGGGGGCAAGTGAGAGGAGACGGGCCTTCGCAGGAGGCTCAGAAGACCACCAGCCTTGATCACCAGAAAGAGTTTCGAGCACCACGCAAGTACAGAAAATTGAAGGGTTTTCACGCGTCGGGCCCCAGGAGGCGATGCTTGTTCGACAGTGCTTCGATACTTTCCTGGGTGCTTGATTTGTTTGCGGGGGAGGTGGTCTTGAAGTACGCTGGGAACACCAGAACACCAGCGGGCCGAACAGATTTCTCCGCCTTTTCCGACTACGCGGACGGCTTCTCAGAAGGCCAGAGGGCCTTTGAGAAGCCCCGCCGCTTCCTGAGAGGGCCTGCCTTTTCCCGAGTCCCCCCTCGCCTGGCCGCCGAACCTCGGGTAAGCGGCGCAGAAGCACGGCATCGACTGCGCGGACGGGTGCGCGTGAGCTGCCCGCGTAAGGTGGCGTTGAGGCGCCCTCGCTTCCAATACGGCGTGCCGCGCTGGCGGCCCGCGAACGCCTCGGCGAAGGGTCGCCGTGACACCTCGCGTAAGACCCGTCCCTTCGGTAGCAACTCATGGGAGCCTTCTAGGTCCTCGCAAGTCCGTCTTCAGGATGCACTCGCGTGCTAGCATCTGGTAATCGATAGGGAAGCGCCGATTTAGCGTCGCCGTAGCGTCGATTCGCAAGAGCAAGCGAGATGGCATGGAAGGCTCCCATGAGTTGCCACAGAACGGTTGTGATCGTCGCTCGGGCGGCAGGAGATGCATTTGGCCCGCCGTGCGCGGTTTTGGCCGCGCTATTGAACGCCATGGGGACGACCAATAGCTTCCGTGAATTTCTCTCGAAGTTTCTGATCGTCGTCTTACTCCTCCTTCTCCTCCTCCTCCTCCTTATCCTCATTATCCTCCTCCTCCTCCTCCTCCTCCTCCTCCTCCTCCTCCTCCTCCTCCTCCTCCTCCTCCTCCCCCTCTTCTTCCTCCTGCCGGGCTGACAGGCACTGGAGGTGGCGACGACTAGTTTTGAGTTGGGATGGGAGTCATCGTGGTTGATCTCTGTAGGTCGGTTTTTCTAGCATGCTGTTTCGTGGGGAGCCTCGTGCCGCTTAGCAAAACAGTGCCTGCCCTCTCTCCGTCGTTGCTGGAAGGCCCAGCCTTGCTCTCCAAGTGGCCAATACAATCCAATCCTTCTCTTCTTCCCCCTCCTCCTCCCCCTCCTCCTCCTCCTCCTCCCCTACCTCCTCCTCCTCAACCTTCTCCTCCTCCTCCTCCTCCTCCTCCTCCGCCTCCTCCTCGTTCTGGGTGGAGAAGGGGCGAGGTGTGAGACAGACCTCCGCGGGCTCACTGAACAAAACCAGGAGTGGAAAAACACACAGACACGATTCATCGTCGATGCCCAGGAACATGTGGGAAACTATGGGAGGTGTGCAGGGGGAAGACGAACCACTCCGAGAACATGGGGAAGCATGGGAAGTCCTAGGACTCGTGTTTATATCTTTGTGTGTCCCCGGCCCCTTCACTAGGGGAACGAACAATGACATAAACCTAAAAACTCGGAGGTCCGCGCGAATTTCTCGGATCGGCGCTGGACCCCCCTCCCTGGCGCGCGGAGCGCGCCAGGGGCGGCGCCGGAGGCGCCGCCAGGGGGGTCCCAGCGCGGATCCGAGAAACCCGCGCGGACCTCCGAGTTCTTATGTTCATGTCATTGTGCGGTCCCCGGTTCCCTGCGCCGAACTCCTCGCGCCAGGTGGCCCGGTCGCAGCAGGGCGTGGAGGACGCCCGCAGGCGCCTCGCGGGCATCCGCACCTCCTGCGAGGCCGCCCTGGGGGCGCTGGCGCGGCGCCGGCGGGCGGGCCACCGCGAGGTGCGCGCCGTGGAGGCGCGCGTCGTCGTCGTCGCCGTCGTCGTCGTCGTCGTCGTCGTCGTCGTCGTCGTCGTCGTCGTCGTCGTCGTCGTCGTCGTCGTCGTCGTCGTCGTCGTCGTCGTCGTCGTCGTCGTCGTCGTCGTCTCGTCGTCTTTCGTCGTCGGCGTCGGCGTCGGCGTCGGCGCCGGCGTCGGCGCCGGCGTCGTGGAGGCGCGGCGGGCGCGCGCGGGGGGGTGGCGCCGTCGCTCGCATAAGAAGGCAGCAAGACCCCTGAGATCAGAGGAGGACAACATGTACTCCAGATCTCGTAATAAAAGGGAGGGGGTCTGGACCCTCCAAGACAAGCCATTTCAGACCCCCCCCGTGGGAGAACCCTCCAAAACATCGTCCCCAGACCCCCCCAGGCCCTCCAAGATAGCCTGGAAGAGACCCCCCCCCCGAAATGAGACCCCCCTCCCTTTATTGCGAAATCTGGAGTACCCATTCAGTGGAGGCCCCTGCCAAGAAACGCCTCGCTTGCCTCCAGGGTGCCCTGGGCTTCTTGGGTTTTTTGTGGAAGGCTCCTTGTGGGCTGGCCTCCACTGCACCGCCATCCACGCCTCGTTTTGTTCCCTTCGTGGGCCTCCTGGGAGGCCCTTGCCGCCACGGCGGGCTGCGCCTCGGAAGCTTTTGGTCAGAGGGCACCCCCCGGAGGAGGTCCGGGGAGCGGCGGTGTCTGTGCCTTTTGGTTTCTTCGGCTACGCCCGATGTGAGGGAGTCGGCATCGGTCCGTGGAAGTGTGTATTTCGGATTCTCGGATTTCAGTGCACGTGTAGGCGCCGTCCCGCTTCAAGGAGTGAGTGGTTTGCCTCTCCCCTCCTCTTCAGCGGGCGGGCGGAGATCCAGTATACTGCAGCGCCTTCCCACTTGATGTGTGTACCCACTTCTTCCGACCGATGGCTGCACAAGCATAGCCTTCAGAGGTGCGCGCGACTGGATCGGTGCGGACTTCCGAAACGAGTTTATGCTTGTGTGCGCAGGCGTTTCTCATCCGGGTCGTCGGCGGCGTTCTCGATCGGCCGATCGGCGCCAGATGTTGACATAACTCAGAGCGTGAGTTACCTACCCCGCTTTCGCTTCCAGGCAAAACCAAGCCATACCATGCGCCTCCTCGTCAAGCGGCCTGACCAGTACAGGCTGCAATTTGGCATCGTTTGGTATCTCTTGGAAGCGAGGGTGGTCAAAAGCGAGGTAGGTTTGTTTTCCCCCTAATGACTCCTCTTCTCAAGTCGAGTCTATTGACGAACTTCCCTGTTTCGGTTTTCGAGCTGGCCCTGCGGCCGCACGCACGGGCCTGCGCCGGCCGGGTCTGGTCCCAGGTCGTTCTCATCAAGCGGTGTTTCGCTAAAGGGGGGTCTCTGGATCAACATCCAGCGACAGCAAGGGGATTCTACCTCCTCCTCCTCCTCCTCCTCCTCCTCCTCCTCCTCCTCCTCCTCCTCCTCCTCCTCCCCCCCCTCTTCCCCCAGGGAGATCCATCTTCATGGGCACTGGGAGGCGGTGGGTATGGATATACTCGATATGTCGCCGCGCCGTTTGTTCCGACGTGCGGCTCAGCGGCTTGGGGAGGGCGCCGCGGGCACCAGGGCAAACGCTGCCTCGGGCGGTGGGCTTGCCGTGGGTTTGCCGCGGTTCTGGCTTCGTCGCCTTGGGCGCGGGGCGCAGGGTTTGCCGTGAGTTTGCCGTGGTGGCGGCGCCGTCCTTTTGGGCGTGTTCAGAACCAGTGGCGCGCCGACATATCCATATCCACCGCCCCCTGGAGGCCCAGGACATCGGTTCCCCCGGTGGGGGATTCTGGGCCTCCTAGATGGGGCCTGAGGATCGCACCCCATCGCCGGCCGATGCATCGGCGATGCGGCTCGATGTGGAACCCGATGTTCTCTACTCTGATGGCGCCGATGTCTCGCCGACGTCGCCGCTGCATCGGCGATGCATCGGCGATGCATCGCCGATGCATTGCCGATGCAGCGCGACCCTCCGACCTCATCTACGCGGACCCCATCTAGGGGGCCCATTTAGGGATATGGAGGCATCCCCGCCTCGTATACAATGCCCACTCCGAGAAAAAAACAGGACTCTTGGAGGCCCCTGGGGATATGGATGCATCCCCGCCTCGTGTAATTTGCAAATTCCGAGAGAGAGAGAGAGAGAGAGAAAAAAACAAGACCCGAGCACACAGATAGTCTTGGAGGTCCGCGTGAAGGGCGCTGACGTCGGCGCTCTGGGCCCCCCCCCCCCGGGCGGCGCCCCCCTGCGCAGCCGACGGCGCGCGCGCGGGCTCCGCGCGCGACGTAGTTGTCTCGACACGCCCGTATTGAAACGCAGCACGTCCCGTGTTCGAGACGTCCGTGTCAATACGCTGCGTGTTGGCTCCACGTATTGGCCCACGTTTTGGCCAACGTATCGCGTCGGACCTACGTTCCCAGTCCACGTGTTGAGCTCCGTATCAATACGCCACGTGCTGCGTGTTGCGTATCGGGGCAGCTAAGGCGCGCGACGGAGCGGGGCCCGGAGCCGATCCAGGGCAGCCCTACGGGCGCCCGTGAGGGTAATCAGTGTGTGTCAGGTGGCACGCCGAGGCCCGTGGTGATGGAGCACATGGCAATTTCGGGAGCCTTGAGACGGGGGTCCATTTGCGAAGACCCCCTCTCAGAGTTAGACAGCTCGTGGCCGCGAGGCGGCCGCGCATGTGGGCTGACCCGGGTTTGCGAGCCGCTCGTGGCCGTGAGGCGGCCGCGCATGTGGGCTGACCCGGGTTTGCGAAGCCGCGCGCTGCCGCTTTTTTCCTGCATTGCAGGTTTTGGGTTTCCCGCCGACCTGGGTCTAATTGATCCGGGTTAGCAGATCCCCGACACTGAAATCGGGCATGTCCCTCCCCAGGAGGAATCTTCGAAAATAGTGAATAGTCTGGGGACGATCGTTCTATTGTTTTTGGCAATCCTTGATCATCTTATGCATTTTCCATGTTTCTAAAATCCGCCTGTAGGAGGACATGCCCGACCTAACGCGACACAGTGAAACAGGCGCACTTCTTCGAAGAGCGCAGAACTTGGGGCCGAACCCCCCATCCACCTCCGCCACCTCATCCTCGCCCTTGCCCTCCTCGCCCTCCTCTGCCTCCTCCTCCTTGCCTGCCTGTCGCCCTCCCCCCGGGTGCCCTTGAGGGCGCGAAGTTGCAGCCGGACCGAGGCAGAAGGTCGAGGCCGGTTCGGGGAGGATGCCCCAATGTTCTTCGCGTTTGTTGGCTGTTCTTTGTGCATCTTGGGGAGGGTAATGTTCAGTGTGTTGGCTGGCGGAGGGTCTCATGTTCTTGAAATATGTTCTTCTGGCCTAGGTCCGACTGGATTCGCGCTTCGCGGTTCTGATCCGATTCCGCCTCGTCTTCCTCTTCTCCCCATGGGGTGCGGCGTGAGAGCGCGAATTGATTGATTCGCGCTTTGCGCTCCGCGCAGCGCGAAGCGCGCAGTTGGGCTCTCTTGAAATCCGCGCGTGCCTCCAAGCGTTTGTGCCTGTGTATAGTGTTTCTTCTTCTGGTCGTCGTCGTCGCTGTCCTCGATCGGCCGGGGGGGGGTCCTAAAGATCAGTTGCTTATGATGGGCTAGGACTCCTATAGGCCAAGCCCATTGGGAGACAATCTCCCACGGCGGATCCAGGCCGTCTTGCGAGCAGCCACCTTTGGCGCGTCGCGGCGCACCCGCTCGTCTGGCTGCCCCTCCGCCCGCCTGGCGGGCGGCCCCGCCCCCCGCGCCGCGGCCGAGAGGTGGCGCTGAAGGTGCTGGGCAGCCCGTGAGTGCTGCCAGAACCCGGGGGCGCGCCCGGGGAGCCCGGACCCCCCACGTCGCGGGAGCGGACGAAGGACGCACCCAGGCACCCTGGGGCTGCAAGCACCAATAAAAGCACGGCGAGCGTTTGTTCGCTGTCTTCGGCCTCCGGGGGCCCTTGCAGGCCCTCGGGGCCGTGAAAAAACGGCTGGGGACGAAAAAACGGTCCCGGGGAATGGGTGGAGACCTCTGGGGGTCGGCGTCAGGAAAAAATCATGACGTCGGGGGTCTGGGGAACGACGTACGCCACGAGTATATATATATATATACACACACATACATACATATATAATATTTATCCACACAAGCGCCCTCCGACGAACTGTCTCTGTAGCTTCAGGGAGGGCGGCGGGGTACAAAGTCGCTGGCGCTCAGCGGTGATTTATACACCGCCACCCTCCCCTGAGGTCCAGGCACAATCCATTGGAGGGCGTATGTGCATATTTTTGTTCGCGGCGGGTGCATGCGCATGAGTCCACGATGGATTCGGAAGTACGCATTGCGCGCACGTTCGTATCACGCGGCTGGCCTCGCGGAGTGGGGGGCCGTGTTCATGCACATGGTTGGGCGAGTACGTCCTTAAGCGGGCTCCCTAACGTCCTGGCCAGATCAAAAAGACGACCGTTGCTTCCACGATGCTTGGCGTCCTGGGGGCCCGCGCCTGACCTCGGGGTGGTAACAAGCGGCCCGGGCGGACAGGCCGTCCCGAGGTCGAGAGTCGTGGAGACCACCGGTGGTACAGTCAGCCCGCATAGTACGGATGGGCAGCCTTCCTGAGGGCACCCCTGCATCCCTGCCCCTTCGGCCCATGCTTGGCAACTCTCGCTGGCCAATCTCGTTCGAAAAACGCTAACGTGGCCCTCCAAGGTCCTTGCACCCTTACCGCGCACCCTTACGATACACCCGGGTCGACTGTAAGCATCACGACGTCGGAGGTCTGGGCCGGCCACTGGGCTTCGCGCGCAGCGCATGCGCCTTGCGAAAGCGGGGGCAACAGTGCAGATGGATGGCGACAGCCAGCGCGCGCCGCCAAAAAGGGCCCGTGTGGTGGTCTGGCTCTGCCTGGCGACCCTCCGCCGCGCGCGGAGGCAAGGGAGGAACAAGCACCCAGACCCCGACAAGTGCCGTTTCCTGAGCGGCCTTGGGCGTTTGCCAAACAGCCCCGCCCTGTTCACTTCCTTCCTTGTGGGCCTTTTGTAAACGACTTCGCTTGTCGAGGTGCTTATTACCGGGTGGATTATCTGCTTCTTTTTCCGGAGGGGGGAAGGCGTCTTAGAGGCCCCAATGCTTCTTAAAAGGCGCGGGCCTTGTCTGCAGATGTAAGGCCGGCGCCTTCTCAGAAGCAGCTGCCTGCCAAGACGCCTTCCCCCTCCCCATGCCCCCTGGTGCGCGCCGCAGCAGAAAAAGGGCTTGTGTGGCGGTCTGGCCTGTGCTTGGCGACTCTGCGGCTCGCACGGTGGTTCTACATCGCCGAGGTGTCGAGCTCTGGTGGTCGCGCTCCCTCCCCTCCTCCTCCTCCTCCTCCTCCTCCTCCTTCTCCTCCTCCCCCACCTTCTCCTCTTCCTCCTCCTCCTCCTCCTCCTCCTCCTCCTCCTCCTCCTCCTCCTCCTCCCCCTCCCCCTCTCCGAATTCGATTGGCCCTGCTTCGCACTCTTTTGTACGCTGGCGAGCAAAGTTGGACGACACAAGCCCGAGGGAAGTTGGGGGCCCTGAGGTTCGGAAGCAGCCAGTCGGTGCCGATGAAGAACTTCGAGAATCCGCACCCGAACCAAAGTATGTGGAAATGCTGTCCCCGGAGATCGAAGCACAATTGAATCAATGGAACCCGCTCGGCCATGCTTCGCACTCGCTTGTTCACTGCAGGATGAAGTTGGATGAACCTCGGAAACCCATCGACTCACGCGGCGGGGCGGACGAGAAGGAGGTCTTGAAAGATGGAGGCCAACCCAATTATTTGGAAATGTTGTCCCCGGTGATCGACTCGTTCATTCGCCGGAGAGCGAACGAGGTCTGGAAAGATGGAGGCCCCCAGGTTCAGAGGCAACCGACGGGCGCCGATGATGACGAGCTTCGAATAACCCATGCTCGTCACTGATGGCCCTGATATCGCAAAGCTTCTGGGATTCTTCTGGTTTACAGCGGCCCACGAAGGAATCACTAGAGGCGTCTTACAATCACTGTGCACGGAAGGGAGGATGCCAATTTGTTGAAGCAGTTGACACTTCGCTTCGAAAATAAAAGAGAGAAGGGATTGTGCAGGTGCGGATGAGGGGGAGAAGAAGTAGGAAAGTGAGGCAAAAGGGACAGTCACAAATTCCCAACGGGGGCTCCCTCTGACCTCTCAGCATTTCAAGCCACAGTTTTGATGAGTTTGTCATCGAAGAGCGGGCGCGGAAGCGCAACGGACGAACTTTGGAGAACAATATTGGCCAGTATTGTTCAGCGGATGAATAGCGGCACCACTTGGCCAACGACGGCACAGTCCGTACTCTACCAGAAGTTCAGAAGTGGCATACTCTTTTTCGGAGTGGGAAAGCTTTGGAGTTGTTGCCAGGTTGGGGGACAACTGCGCGACTGCCCCCGCGTGACAAGTAAAACGCAGGCCAATTTGCACACCTAAGTTGGAGACGCATACGCACGCGCAGCCACGTATTTCTTTGGACGGATACGTCATGCGAGTCCTCAGCATGCGCCGCATGTTTTCCGAGTTTTCTAAGGTGCTGAGCGTGACCTTGCAGAAGGCGACAAGACGAAATGACAGGCGAACTGGCGCGAGGTGAAGTCAACGAGAACAGGGGCCGTGCATGTCTGGGCGCCTTTGGCGCGGGGGGGAAGCATGTGTCTTGGCGCAGGGAGCGCCGATCGCACTAGCGAGGGCATCTCGAAGTGCATGGTGTCCCCTCTTTTTTCATCCTCGGTCCTCATCTCTGTGGGACACAGAGAGGAATTGGGCTCGCGAGTCAAAGAGGGGCTCAGGGAACCCTCCTTCTTGCGCTGGCCCGCTAACGCGCGCCATTGGCAACGCAGTGCCAGCGGTGCCGCACTCCTTGGTCTCATTGGGTAGCTACTGACTGGCAACGCAGGGCTCCCTGCGAACGAGCCGCACGCTCGCATGTGGTGGAGGAGGGGGGGAGGCGAGGGCTTGGGGTGAAGAGGGCAGCGTGCGCGCCTCTGCGCAGGCCTTGGCAGTTCCCTCGGTCAGATGTCGAAGGGCTGCCGGGTCTTTGCTGCGTAACATTCACGCAGGAGAATTACGCATACGCTCTACACTGCATTTTCGCGGGCGCGTTGACGCTGACCCCCATCATGCGGATGTCCTGTCCTGTCCTGTCCTCCCCCTCCCCCTCCTCCTTAAACAGGGCTTCGTGTTCCAGGGATCGAAGGGCTGACCCCTCGCTTTCGGCGGAGGTGAGCGGGAGGCCCGCGGGAGCGGGCAGACGGCAAGTCGGCGGTGGCGTCTCCGTCGGAAGCTGGCGGAAACCCGCCGGAAGACCGTGGAGGTAAAAGCTTCGGGGCTCGCGTGACGGGGTTCGGGGTTCTCAAACGTTTTGGCCGCCGGGCGAGGAAGTGCCATCGCGACGAGAGAGCACTAAGCCGAGGCAGTGTTTTGTTTGCCGCATCTGCCTTCTCTTCACTCTGGCGCCCGTCATGTCCGCGACTCGAGGGAGCGACGCCGACACAGCCAACGACACTGAAAGATCAGGAACACCGCGGCCTCTGGAGGGGCTCTGGTTTGGGGGGCTTTTCCTTAGATTTGGGGTCTGGAGCCGATACGTGGCCGAGGTTTGCCGTGGCCATAAAAAAACCCTTCGTTGCTTACTTGGCGTTTCTGTGGCAGCACTATGGCTGTAGCCAGAGGGTGCAATACCTGGCCTGCTGCCTCCCCGCCGCCTCCCGACCTCTCCTGTCCGGCCCCTCGGCGCCTCTTCTCGGGGACCAAGACGACACTTGGGCTCGGCACCAGAGGTTGAGGAGGAGGAGAAGGAGGAGGAGGAGGAGGAGGAGGAGGAGGAGGAAGAGGAGGAGGAGGACGAGGACGACGACGACGACGACGACGAGGACGAGGACGAGGACGACGACCAAGACGAGGACGAGGACGATGAGGAGGAGGAGGGTAAGGAGGAGGAAGAGGAGGAGGCGGAGGAGGAGGAGGAGGAGGAGGAGGAGGGGAGGAGGAGGAGGGGGAGGGGGAGAGGGGAGGAGGAAGAGGAAAAGGAGGAGGAAGAGGAAGAGGAGAAGGACGACGAGGACGACGAGGACGACGAGGACGACGAGGACGACGACGAGGAGGATGAGGAGGAGGAGGAGGAGGGGGCGCTGCAGCCGCCGAGGCATGGCTGGCCGGGCAGGACCGCGCCCATCTCGAGGCAGGCCAATGCCACGCCGCGGCGCCCCGAGGTGGCGCCGACGTTCCTCCGCGGGCGTCCCCCGGCGCCCTGTGCGGGGGCCGGCGGTGGCGGCGCGGCGGGCCGCCCAGTCGGCCCAGAGGGCTCAACTGGCTGCTCGCCCACGCGGCTCCCGACCCGGACCCCCTCGAGTCGCGACGTGTGTTTCGGCATCCTCGGCTTCTGGAGGCCCGGACTGGCCCTCGGGGCCATGGAAAGGGTTACCGGGGGTTAGAAACCACCTGGTTTCAGACCTCGGACCCACAGCCCCGACGTCATGATTGTTTCATGATTTGGGCCTCCAGCGGCCTGGACCCATTCCCCGGGATTGGCGTTCCGCCCCCATGAGCTTCCGAGCTGGGCGAATTAGCGAACCATCGCTCATTAAGGAAGACGTTGAGATGAGTATATACTAATTCGTGGTGCTTGCTTGTATTAGTAAGGACCCCAGCGCTAAATTTATTGAGTGCGAACGAATTAGCCTGTGTTCGCGCTAATCATAGTTTCTTGAAGTAGCGAGTAGCACGCGTCAATTAGCGCGTGCGCTTTAGTGCGGACTGCGTCGCTTGAAATGAGTAGCGCGT